GCTCCATGCTGCAGCTACCAGGGACTGCCCAAATCATCCAAGCTCTCCAAATCTTTGCCAATAATTTGGAGAGCTTTGAGTTGATTTGGACCTTTAAATTGGTCCCCTGATTTGATTCGGACTTGGAGTTTTGGCCACCGAATCAGGCTGAATCTCCTCTGAATTGAATCACCACTCAAAGCTTTGCACAGCCCTACTGACCGCACCAATGAGTGCTGATCCTGTACCATGCCCTGCTGATGATAATCACCATGGTGCTTCAGACATGGGAGAATCTGGCACGGGACCCTGAGCTTCAACAGTGCATCAGGTAAGCCCGTGCTTCCCCGCAACATGCACCACCCGGAGTGGTATCTGTGCATGTGCTGCAAGTCCCTGATCCCCGTGGCCAAGGAGATTATCAATGCCATCAACAAGTTTGTCTCCATGTGACAGGCCCCTAGCTGCTTAGCTGGGAGGTTGCTAGCTGCTCAATAAAACTCTGCATTGCCTCCTGCCTCTCTCTGTGCTGTTGGGGGGAAACTTTGCGGGGCAGGGGACAGCTTGGCCAGGCAAGGCTAGAGGGCAGGGGCAGGAGCAGGGGTTGTGGAGGGCCTTCCTCCCATGTGGGGCCCCTGACTCCAGGTGTGCAACTCAGAGGTGGCTGAGAGAGCTGGCACAGGCCCGGGTGGCCACATTTTTACCTTCCTGCCCCAGCCCTCCTCCCTGTGAGAGGCTTACTAGATTGGCATGGCAGGCGTTCCTGGTGGCCTGAGTCTGTCCTTGCAGGTGGCTACTGCTAGCATACCAGGATGCAGGGGCATAGTGCATGGTTGCCTGGGCAGTGGCCCCCTCTAGGGAGGAGCTGGAGCTCATCACAGTGGTAGATGCCACCCCTGGGCTGTTGTTACCAGATCTGCCCATCACTTTTGGGTGTGCTCATTTATTAGAGATACAGTTTTAGGGTCTTTGTAGTTCTATCAATGTGCTGCTTGTGTTACTTGTGTTTCTATATGGAGCTATATCTCTCCCTTCTCCAAGTCCTCACCCCCAATGGAGCTGTCTTGCAGGACAGTTTCAGTGGGGCTGGGTTCCTCCAGCCACCAAATCAGTGAAACACACACAGACAAGGTAACGTGACATGCCTGACCCAGCTGGGTTGATCAGCATGTACAGGTTGACATCCTCACGTCAGGAATCAGTTCATTAAGGTAACAATAAAATGCAGTCAGAGACAAGCACACAGGTAAACAGAATACCTCTGAATCCAGCTGGGTGTCCAGCTGACACCCTCAGGGGCCAACATTCAGTTCATTAGGGCACATCTGAGCCAAACTGAGTCAATCAGCCTATACAAGCTAATCCCCGTATGTCTCTCAGAAACTCAGCATGTTCCAGTCTTTTGCCCTAACTGTATTAGTAGTGGTAGCCTCTTGATGAGCAGAACCCACAGTATTTCTGGGCTTCACAGGGATCTTTGGCGTAGGTAAAAGAAGCGTTGCTGTGGAGCAAGTGGGGAAGGGGAAATAGAGAAGAAAAAATACACTCGGTTACCACAAGTTTGACTATAAAAGTTATTTATTGCTAAGCATATGAAATGTATAATGGTACTATACCATAATGTATAATGGTACTAGTAGTAATAGACATGAAATGGAAAACATACAAAAACAATTACAATATTACCCTGGTTTCATTGAGTATTTGGGGAAACCTAGCTCAAGCTTAACTAATTCAGATTCAGAAAGCTATGCCTAGAGAGGAAAAGAAAAAGAGAGAGAGAAAGAGGGAGAAAGAGAAAGAGAGAGAGCAAGTGCTGGGATCTCATTGTTCCAAGGCACTCGGGTGATTTGTTGACAAGCAAAGTTTCTAACACAATTGTTGAAGGGAGACATTCTGTTTCTCCCAGCTTCTCGAGACCAACAGCAGATGGTGTCAGAGAGATTTCTCTCTTGAAGCACACTGTTTGCTACTTTACAGCTTTCTCATACCCTTAGCCTAGCCTCTTCAAAGCATTCTTTTAATTGTGTAAATCAAGAGGGTCCCAAGCCATAATTGACAGGGAAAATCCTGTTATAGAAACAGTTTAAATTTAAATGAATTACCTTTTTCAGTGACAAGGGGTTATCTGGTTTGGAACATCTCAAGAAACTGATTAACAACCAGGAAAAACATTAAGTTTTAAGGAGTAACCAGACACCTAGGAGCCAGCTTGAAATCATTATGAATATAGAAGATATACTGGAAGGGATACCACATTGTTTCTTCTCAGATGGCCTAGCTATGCTTGCACTGTGAAGTCAGCATCAGTGTTTTGTATTTTACCTGTTGTGAATAAGCCTCAACTTAGCATGACTTTCAGATTTTACTGTAGTCTTTTAACAGACTTAAAGGGATTACTTGGCATGTTCATAAACTGTGGGGAGAACTTCCACCCATCATCCCAGGAAAAATATGACAGCATTTGTGGTCAGGGCTCCAATGGGCTTGACATTGTGATGAACCCTTAACCATTGTTCAAATGTCACCCATACCCACTTTGACTCGGTCTCTTGCCTCAGCATTCCCTAACACGGCAACTGAGTTTTAGTCGATCAAGTTTAAATAGGCCTCCTATACTGGGACCGGGGAATGTATGGCCTGAGATGCCTATTAAACTTTTCTCCTGCTTAGTTCTGGGTAGATGAGGTGGGGCAGAAAGGGGGGAATAGAAAAAGTGCTTTGTAATCCAGCAAGCTGGGTGCCAGGGCTCCCTCAGGAACACAGAGCTGACAGGTAACACTGTCCTCTTGGGTGGGGCTGTGCACCTGGATCTGGCATGGCAGCTGCTGATCCAGGCTCCTAGAGCTTCTGGACAACGCTGACCTGCTTAGTTCTGGGTAGATGAGGTGGGGCAGAAAGGGGGGAATAGAAAAAGTGCTTTGTAATCCAGCAAGCTGGGTGCCAGGGCTCCCTCAGGAACACAGAGCTGACAGGTAACACTGTCCTCTTGGGTGGGGCTGTGCACCTGGATCTGGCATGGCAGCTGCTGATCCAGGCTCCTAGAGCTTCTGGACAACGCTGAGGGCAGGGAGTGGACCAGGACCTGTGCCTGGTGTCCCAAGGGGCCCTTCCCTTGCAGAAGAGTCCTTGCTGCCAGGCCACCATGGGGACTCTCACAGGCCACTGGTACTGAAGAACATGGTGTGACTGAGTTCAGGATCTCAGGGAGTGAGGATGCGGTCCAGATGCTGCATAAAAGGCATGGTCCTGCAGGCAGCCCTTAATCAGTGGTTGTGGTTAGTGACATGGACCCAGTACGCTTGCAGGGCCTTGACCATTATGCAGCACTGCTGCACTGACCACTGGTGATCACACTCCTGCATGCGGGCCACCATGTGGGTTATTGGAATGCCCACTCCAGGCAAGCTGGATTTGGACCTTGGCATCACCCCATTGTGCAACAAGGCCCATGGTTTCTCCCTGGGACGAGTTGGAGCCCTGGGACACTGTGTGGTGTAGGGGAAGATACCAGCATGGCTCCCTCAATGGCCCTCAGGGGCTCCAGCTGAGGGTTAGGGTGCTGCCAAGCCTGGGCACATGCTTGCCGCACAGCGGCATGGCATGTGGGAGGCAGCCAGATGGTGGGGATGGCCTGGGGACCACTGCCGGGGTCAGTGAGGCTGCTGCATCCAGCATGGGTCCACAGCTGCAGGACCCAATGGTCAGAAGCAGGCAGCAGGTGGCATAGGCCCCAGGGGCACACCAGAAGTTTAAAGGCAAAGAGGCATCCCAGCACTGGGGCTGAAGAAACTCTGAGCCTGAGCCCCTGGGGGAAGCCTGAGAGTGGCCCCCTGGTGGTGGGGCTGACCAGGAGCAAATTTGTTTCCGGTCAACATCTACATGTGCACCACTGTGCAGTAATACTACACGGTTAATTTACTACCTGCATTTGTAGGTAGTAAACGAACCACTCAGTAGACTAAATTACTGCATAGTAACTGCCTGGACATGTAGATGGTCATGCTTTACTGTACAGTAAATTAGTCTACTGTGCAGTATAGCATCTTGTGTAGACAGGCCCTGTAACTATCATTTTTCTTACTGTAGTGCTTTTCAGCTTCAGCCAATGTAAGGGTGCTGTTGTGCACATATGGACATGTTGTATGATATTACTTCAGCCCTGACAAGTTTGCACCCAAAACCAGAGGGCGCAAAATATGGCCCGTGGGTCACATGTAGCCCGCCAGGCCATTTTATCTGGCCCACAGGGCCCTTAAAAAATTTAGAAAATTAATATTTATCTGCCCATGGTGCCTGTCATGCGGCCCTCAGTGGCTTGCCAAAACTCAGTAAGTGGCCCTCCACCTGAAACAATTGCTCGCCCTTGCCCTAAACCATTGTAAATAATAATTTTTTAAATGGTTAGGCTGTTCCATTTTTATATCTGTTTTTGTGAGACTCGGGGTACCAAAATACAATACAATACAATACAATACAATTTTAATTTATATATTTAAATAGAGGGAAGTTTACAGAGAGAGATGACGTATAGTGAACTCAACATACCTTTTCTTTCTATGTTTCTATTCCTCCTGCTG